AAAAAAAAAAAAAAAAAAAAGAATAAGAACTGAAATAAATAACAACAATATGGACTGAAGGTCTAGTCTCAGCTCTGACTTTCTACATGGTCTTACTTAATAAGTGACTCCCCCACATTGTTTCTTTTCTTACATAAAAAATGACAGAAATACATATTCTCTAAAGTCTCTTGAAGCCAATAGATTATATGATTCGTTGTTTAAAAAGTAACTTTAAGGCCTAATATGGTTTACTGAACAACTGGAACAATTAGGGTGGGGGTTGTTTTATTAACTTAGAGGCTTTAAACACAAGACCTGGCCCTCACTTCCTGATTGTTACAAAGCACCTGCTACCTATGTTCTGAAGTACACAAATCTGCTCGTAGTAAATCACAGTCACCTCGAAAATGACCTCTTCCTCTTATGTTTTCATAGCAATCAACATTTACTAGGGTCTTCGCATTAAAGTCATCTGTGTTACATTTGATTTCAAGAGCCAGGTAAGGGGCAGACATTCCTGATGAAGAGTCTGATAGTCCTTGGAATAAATTGTCCCCCAAAATATTAGATTATGAACCTTTAGATCAGGCCATGCTCATCAGCCTCTAATAGGTTTGAGGGACTCACAGTCTTAATTTCCTATGTGAATCTATAATTGTCCGCAGGGGTCAATTTCAGTGGACGCCTCATATAAATTAGAATTGAAGATAATGATGCCTGTTCACTTGATCAACTAAAATGACCAGCTGGGTTTAATGGGAGGAAAACAGAAACCCCCGTGAAATTGGAATAGCTTCAAAGGTGATAGAATGTAATTATTTTTCTGCAAAGTTTCTTCTCTAAAGGTGACTGGCCATTGTGCTGTGGGCACCTGGGCTGGTATGTTATGAAGGTGGATATGGTATTCAGAGCAACCAACTGTATCCAAAGGCGTAAGTTAAGAGTTAGCTTTCTGCTAAGACAAGGGGGAAAGCGGATTTCTTCTCCGTTCTTATTTTAGTCATTTCATTTACAGTTGGAGAGGTGCCGTGGGGACTTGCCTAATTGATTCCCGAGAGGCAAATTCTAATTTAGATTGCTCCAAAAGTGTTTTCTCTTTATAGCCATAAAACATTTTCTAGAATTTGTTGTAATTACCCTCAGGGTAATATAATTTTAGGTCTGAAAGAACCTTGATGTCACCTGCCCAACCCCTTTCTTTTATAGAGGAAGAAGCTGAGGTCCAGAGATGTGAACTGACTGAACCAAGGTCATAGAGCTAGAAAGAGGAAGAGGCTGGCTAGAATTCAGCAATGGGATGAAACCAAGACGGATGCCCAGTGTGGGGTTTCCCACTTACGAGTAGCTGGAGACTCGTTCAGGGAGGATAAAAGATTCTCTCTATGAAAATCCCCATTTAAGAAGACTTAGGCACTATAATTCGGTAGAGGTGCCGGCAAGCAAAAATGGCAGAGATGGAAACCTGGAAGAGACAAAGAGCAAAGGACCGAGTAGACCACAAAGTAGATAACCATCCCCAGAGTGGACAGTGAGCTCTGTGTGTGCTGAGGGACAGCGATACATGGCGTGACTGCACAGACTCAGGAGCCAGACTGTCTGTCCGGGCTTGATTCCTGACTCTGCTCATTTTGAGCTCTGTGATCTCTGACAAGTTGCTTAAGCTCTCTGTGCCTCAGTCCCTCATCTGTATAAAAGGATGATAATATCAGTTCTGTTTTAGGGATTAAATAAGGATTAAATACATTGATCTATGTAAAGAGCTTAGCACATATTAAATGCTACGTTAGTGTTTGCTGCTTTGTCTCCAATCACGATGCCAGAAAATCTTTTAAGTTTCAGAATATACACATAAGTTGTACTCACTAATAATGTTACTAAGGTGCTTTATGATATAAATATACAAAGGCTCTACTAGAGACATTCACAAAGTCATTGATAAAACCTTTTTGTATGTTTAACGGATTACTTGTTCAGTATGTACTATTAGAATTTATAGTTCCTTTCCAAAACAATAAACTACAGAGATTTTTTAAAAAGGCAATAGCCATAATGTCATATAACAATGACAGACGTTTCGTTAGCAAAACAATTAATAAAAGAGCGTATCTGTTGTAAAAATTAAAGACAGATTTTCATGGCAGGAAATTAGTGTCAAGTCAGTGATTCCTGGAGTCATTAGAGTACGGCTGGCAGCTCTGGAATGCTCCATTTTCTTTGGCTAAAGCACATTTCTTGGGCAGTTTAGCATTTTTTTTTTCCCCTTAGAATTTAATGTCATCAAAGTTGTCATTAATATTTTACTTAGAATTTTTTAAGAGGAAATCTTCACAAAATTAACAATGCAGATCATTAAGTAATTAGAGCCATTTCAGATGTGCCTGAAAAGAATACCACGTATGGATTAGTTGTTTTTTCCTTTTATTTTTTGAATTAAATTCAGTGAAAGCTTGAAGGGAAAAAAAAAAAACCATCAGTTACCTATTCGTTCCCTCATATTTTAACTAAATAATTTTAGCAGTTATGTAGAAAAACACATTTTAAACATCGTTGTAAAGAACTTTTCTGGAATCGGTCTGATTTAGGACATAGGAAGATCGTGATAGGCTGCATATCTTCCAGTCACATGATGGTAAATCTGTGAGGAAAATCAGAATTCAGTTAATTAATAATGATTATATAGCATATATATCAGTTAATATTTACACTTTTAAATAATAATTAATAATTTAATTGATGTTTCATTATAAAGCCCTATATTATCATGCACTTCAGCAGACTCTGCAGTCAGCCTACTTCAGGTGGAGGTTTGCTTGGAAGAAAACAGAACTTTGGGTACGATGAGGTAAATCCGATGAATTCTTATCTCTAGTTCTCATACCCCAGTAGGGGTTATTCATTTCTTTCTCAAAAACACACTTGCCAATTTGTGCCAAGGACAACGGATTATTACTCACCTGCCTCTCGATGTCAGAAAGCAGAGTACTGGCACCTATTCGAAAGAGTTCTGGCGTCAGCCATTCGTCTCCTAGCTCTTCTTTTATGAGAGAGAGCCAGGCTAGGGAATCCTTTGCACTGCGGATGCCTCCTGCTGGTTTAAAGCCGATCTAAAAGGGAAGGTGGGAAAGAGAACAATGTTTGTTCCTGGAGTACTTTAAAAACTGGTACTGCGTTAATACAAGGTCTCGATTCTCTTTCTCTCTTTCTCTCCTTCTCTTTTTTAAAGTCTATTTCACTTTACCCAGCAAAAGAGCTTAGATCACTGGCTCACGCCCATTCACAGTACAAAATGACTTCTCTAAGATTAATGGGAAGAATGTCACTGCTTCTGAGGAGACACTAATGAGCGTTAATAACCCTCATTAACATTGCACTTATTGGAAAGTCATAAACCTCAACCATCTAAACTATAGCTGTGAACTGGGGATAAACAAGAGAGGTGTCAATAAACAAGGAAAACAGATATCCCAAAAGCCCATTCATTCTGCATTTCTACCAGTGAGCCTGGCTAGTCACCTTTCAGCCTTTCATCCTGAGGTGCAAAAGACACACACATGTATTCAAAATAAGAAGAGGGAATCAGTGAGGCCACACTAACCAAACTGGCAGCAATCAGGAAGGGGTGTTGACAGTTGTTTTCATCAATATAACTGCAGGGACTTTCTTCTAAGTTGTAAGTAGAAAGAGTTATATAAAGCAGCCAGACCACTTAAATAAGTGCAGCAGAAAAAGACAGTGTAGCAACTCTTCACAGTTCAGTAGTCTTTGAAGGTGAACATAAAACAGCACAAGTCAGCCAGTATCTGATGTTTACAAATGATGTCCCCAAATCCATTAGAAATGGATAAATGTGTTCTATAAACAGTAAAACCTGCTTATCTGGATTTACTGGTCTCCAGAACTTGAATCCAGTAGTGTAGAGTATCTATAGATGGGAACAATCAAGAAAACACTCTATAGCCAAGTACTAAAGCTCAGGCATTTAAACACTAAGAGCTGTTGATTCGATAGGTAGCACCAACACGGGGTTAACTGCTAAAAGAATGCTAGAGAAGGGAGATGATAAATGCAAGGTCCCATAATTTACCCAAACTAGAAGCCTCAGAGTTAACCTAGACTCCGCCATTTTCCTCACCACACCAAACCCAATCAATCAATGGTCAAGTCCTACGAATCTTCTCTCCTTAACTTCCGTATCTACCACACACACTTCCTCTCTGTTTTCACTTCTGCCGTATTAGTTTAGACCCTCATTCATTCTCATATGGAATATCGGTCGGTCTCCTTACTGGTTTCCCTGCCTCAGGCACACATGGCCACATGACTAAGCAGCAGCTATACACTGACCCTAACCGTATCTGTCTATTCCTCTGGAGCCCAACTGGCTCTGAAAGAGTGCAGGGACATGAGGCGAGAGGGGGAGATAAATAGGATGAGATTATTTCTTGAGAAGAAGCCCCCAAAATCAATTAGCTTATATTAGCATACATGTTAATCATAGGAGCATTTTTGTCAATTAGGCAGTGCTGCATATAGATTTTTCCATATAGTTCAGTTGTGTCAGCAAGTCTGTTTGGCAATGTTTCTAAAGAGAGGTTCTAGCATAAGTTTATCCTTTTTTTTTTAAGGGAGAGAATATGGAAAACATAAATCTGCAATGAAATCAGTTATGAAATATTAAACCTCTGCTGCTCAGAGTGACACTAATCATGGTCTGGAAGACGGCCCATCACATTTTAAAACTCCCCTTAAATCAATGATGTAGAAAGTTTACAGTCTAACGGCTGCCCAGGCAACTTGTCAACAACCTGAAAGGATGCACCTGATTTGTAGACAGAGACACAGATCCTCACCGTGTGAAATCAAACGTGATTATAATGACTCTGATTTGACTTGTATCGGCCCACTGTTGATAAAACTGGGGTGAACTTTGGTTGTTAGCTGAGGAAAGGGTCAATACAAGTAAAAGGAAAGTACTGGAAGACAGTGAAGAGTCCCTTCTACTGTACACTGACCTAGGATATTGAGCACTTAAAACTTTTACTGAAATCCTTTGCTTGTTGTCTAAGAGATCTCCTGGGAAGGGACTTGTTCATTTTGTATCCCTGTTAACATAGGTTAACATGGCACATAGTTAACCACTCAATCAATGTTTGTTGAGAACACAACAGGATTGGGTCTCTAATGGTGAGTTTTAACCCTGACTCTGGAGTTTATGAGACACACAGATGCCTGAGGATTACTCCTGATCCAGAAGTGCTAGGGATGAGGGCCCAGGCATCGAACATCTTATTTTGTTGTACTTTGGCACAAAATAGGAACTACTGGTCTAAACGAATAGTAGTGGTCTCAGGTGGGAGGACCAAAGAGAGAGTTCTCTTTTTTAGAGCTAAACATTTTTTTTTTTTTTTAATTTGGATCAATGCAGAAAGGCTACCAAGTACAGGTTACTCAAAGTGAGTCAACTATCATAAGTAAGGTCACAGTAGACAGCATGCCTATACTTTTTTAAGATATGAAGTTATTCTGAAGGAGAAAATTCTGGAAGAAGTTCATTTCCTCTGAAACCCAGAACATTCTGAAAAGGGGCTCCAGGTCCAAAATGAACTGAAGGTACAGTGACATATACAGTCATCACATCCATTTGGCACAGGATTAAAGGTCTTTTTTGGGGGGGGTTCCATTCAGCAGTAATCCAGAGATCAGCTTTTAAAGATGTCTTCTGAGGAAGGGACAGTCTCATTACAAAACAAAACAAAATAAAACAAAACAACCTTTCTCTCCAGTGATATAAAAAAAAAAAAAAATCCTTTGAGATAATTTGCAGCTAAACAAGCAACTTGAAGCTAAAAGGAAAATCCAAACTCATTTTAAAAAAACACCTCATACGCATTTTTCTTTTTAACTTCCTATGTTTCAAAAAAATATGTATTATTTTTCGAAAAGCTGACAAAAGCTAGCACATACCCTCCTCAGCTTAACAGTCTTCCAAAGAGCACATCCAACTGCCATAAAACGCAAAAATGGATATTTAATTCAAGAGCTATATAACGTCTAGCTACCTTTTCCCTGCTGTTTCACAGCATTTCATTATTTTGTTTAATAAGTTCATCTCCTCGAGAATTTTCTCTTCACCTCATATTATTAAAAGTAATAAGTTTTTCTGGACCGGGGGTTTCCCAACAGAAAAACCAATTTATGTGTGTCCTTCAATAATGACAGGAAAAGATTATTTCCCATTATATTGCATACTTTTCATATCACCACCACAGCTTATCATTCAATAAATGTTACTCTGCAATTCTTTCCATTCCTCAAGGAAGTTTAATTTCTGCATTAACCTGTTTTCGCTGGCCAACGCCTTACCAGAAAGCCTCTGTGTTGCAGCAGAATTAGTTCGTTAAAGAACCCATTTAGGAATCTCTTGTCAGTGATAAAATTGTCTTCAGTTAATAAAAGGACATAAAGTGAGTTTACATCTTGATCACACATACTTACTCCCACACTCACACTCACTTTCTGCTAATCGCACATTTTTCTCCATGAATGTGTTCTTTTGTAATGAAAGGTAAATTAAACATTTATCTTAATAAAGGTAACTCATTCACACCTTCTGCATATAAAGACAGTTTTTGTGGCTGTAACTAGTATTATAAATAACATTATCTTTACTCCGAAGAAAGATTTGCTGGCAATAATATACCTTGTTTCCAGTTTTCCAGAAGAAATCTCTAATGGCCCGTAGCATTACTATAGCTACCGGGAAAGTGGCATTTACTGCTTCTTTTCCAGTAGAGGTCTTAATAAAATCTGATCCTAAAACAAAAGGAAAAAAAAAACCTCCATGTTAATTAAAATTTTATTTTTTACACATCTTAGTCAGTGGAAGAAATGAGTTGTGTAAATTTTTTTCCTGAGGAACACAACTTTATTTTTCATTAGCTATCTGAAAAATTAAAAAGAAAATCCCTCTTTAAAATAATTCTATCCATACTTTCCACCCCTCCCCCCCTTACTAGAAGATGCATGGAATTATGTACCGAATGCATTCTGATTCCTAGGGCCCTTGCCTCCATCTTTCCATATCCTCAATTAAAATCAAGTTGGTTTATTTAATGCATAACTAAGATGAATAAAAACAATTTTATGCCCTGTGCTTAATATCATTTATCACAACACTTTACTACAAAACTGCAGTGCCCACTCATTTTCCCCTCATTTTCTTATGCTCGACAGAAAGTACTCAGTACGGCTCTGACCACGCAAGAAGAATCACCACTAGCTTATTTGTACCGCGCTGTTCAGTAATGAAAGCCGTGTATCTTCCAACGAGATTAGGAATTTCACGAAAGACATCAACTATTTCATAACCTACAAATACTTTAAACAACTTTCTGTCTCTCAAATGCATCCTAAACCTATTGATGTAGTTTAACAGAATAGCACAGGAGACAAAGAAATGATAATAACAGTTAAGATTCGCTGTGTGTTATGCACTATTCTTTATTCTAGGTGCTTTACAAGTAATAACTCAGTCATTCCTCACCACACCTGCATAAGTTAAGTACTAATATGATCCCCATTTTAAAGGACAAAATTGAGATACAGAAAGGTTAAAATGGGGCTCCTGGGTGGCTTAGTTGGTTGAGCGTCTGACTTCGGCTCAGGTCAAGATCTTAAGGTTCATGAATTCAAGCCCCATGTCGGGCTCTGTGTTGACAGCTCAGAACCTACAGCCTGCTTCAGATTCTGTGTCTCCCTCCCTCCCTGCCCCATCCCTTCTCGTGCTCTGTCTCTGTCTCTCAAAAAATAAAACGTTGAAAAACAATTTTTTTTAAAAAAAGAAGAAGAAATGTTAAATAACCAGCTTGGGGTTACACAGTTAGTAAGGGGATGGGGTAGAATTCTAACCAAAAAAACACAGCTTAACCAATATTATAGTGTCTCCAAGAAACTTACCTAGGGTCACAAAGTCAGGTAGCCAAACAGGGATTCCATCTTTAATGTGATTATCTAACCTTGAAATACTCAACATGCCCACAGACCAGCAGCATGGGTACCATGGGGGTGCTTGCTAAAAATGCAGACTCTCAGATCCTATACTAGATCAACTGAATCAGAATCTGAATATAAACAAGGTTCCTAGGGGATTCCTGTGCAAATTCATGGCTCTAGCCCACTGAGTCTGAGGGACCACAGGTAAGGCTAATGTCTGGGATTCTCCCAAGGTGCATCAAAGAAGTGGTCAATGGAAATGTTGGAAAGAAATGGCTAAAACTTTCCCCTTTAGTTTCAAATGGAAAGATACTTCCACAACTATTCTGTGGATGGAAAGGTTCAAATTGACACACCTTTGTAAACACACTGTGTGTGCGGCACAGTGGAAAATATAGCAACAAATAATTCAAGCCCTTGCCCTCAAAAGCATACATTCTAGGTGCAGGTGGAAATGAAACATAGATCCTGGGTAATTACTTGATAGGCTAGAAGTCAGAAGACCTGGTTTTACCTCCTGAACCATCTTGCCTATAAAATACGCCTGAAAATTCTTACTTGCTTCACAGTGTTCGTTATACAAGGAATTAAAAGAGACAATCTATATGAAAGCACTTTGAAAACTCTCAAGCATTATACAAATATAAATGAATCAAAGACTTAGGTAGGGTTTCAATGTGTAAAAATGTGATAGAAATTTTGATTTATGAAAGCAGGTCATCAGAAGCCTTTTTTTTCCTGTGGGTCTATAGACCCACTGGAAGAAATGGAGATATATTTGTCATGCATGCATTTATCTAACGAATATTCACTAAGCACTTACTATGTGCCAGACTCTGTTCTAGATGCGGAAGATAGACCACAAAACAAAACAATAAATTTCCTACCCTTGTAAGCAGATTTTCTAGAGGAGAAAGACAATAAACAAATGAATATATAACAAATGTCAGTGGAGGTAAGTGCTATGAAGAAAAAAGCAATGTAATGAGGTAGAGAGTGATGGAGTTGGGGAGAGGTAGCCATATTTAAATAGAGTTATCATAAAGGCATCGCTCAGGAGTGATATTCAAATACAGACTGAATGAAAGGTATCACTGAAAAGAACATCACAAGCAGGGAAACAGCAAGTGCAAAGAAAGGCCCTTAGGTAGGCATGAGCTGAGTTGATTAATAAATGAACAAATGAATAGGACTACAGAACCAACGTGTAGTCACTACCACACCAGAAAAAAGACAATCAAGGAGAAGAGATTAAAGACTCCAAAAAATAGATGTAAGAGGTGAGGGGAACATCCCCAAAGAATTCACAATGAGACCAAGACCAAGATGTGATTTCCTAAAGTGTGACATTGTCTTCTGATTCACTAGAAAGCTTTTGGGTACAACACTGGGTATCATGTAAATTCTTTCAAGCATCTTAAAAGATTATTAAGATAAAAGTCCAAGGCCACATTTGGAGGCCTAAAAAAAGCTATGGTCACTTAAAAATCACACAATTTAAAGTTAACCAAAAAAGCCAATCTCCTTTGAAAGAGTCTGGAGGTAGGATAAGGGAGAAGACTCTCCTCCTAACATATTTGGGAGGAGCAGAGCAGAATACCTATCATGATAGCAACAAAAGTCCAGGAGTAGTAACAGTGGCCTACACATAGTGTCTGTCTCTCGTTCTTGGTTGTACGTTAAGCACATTTGAGGGCAGGTGCTATATCTTTCTATGCACTCTGTATCCCCAGAGAATGACACACAAGCAAGGCTCAATAAATGAATTTTGGATGGATGGATAGATGGATGGAAGGAAGGAAGGAAGGAAGGAAGGAAGGAAGGAAGGAAGGATAGATAGAGGGATAGAGGGATGGATGGAAGGATGGATGGATGGATGGATGGATCAAGTGGTAAATAGAGGGCCACAGCTACCAAGAAAAAGCAATCTACAATATTTCCTACCTTTAACTGACTAATGGGAAAGGAAAGACAGTTTTGAGTTTCATCCCAGTTCAGGTAACAAAACTGGACAGGTGACTCAGAAGAATACATTATTTTATTTATTTTTAAATGAATTTTAAATTTTAAAACAGATCTAAATCTACAGAAACATTGTAAAGCTAGTACAGAGAATCCCCATAAACCCTACACCCAGTTTCCCCTATTATTAAAAACTTTTATCCATATGGTACATTTGTTACAATTAATGAAGCAATATAGACATATTGCTATTAACCCAAATCCCTATTTTATTTAGATTTCCTTAGTTTTACTTAGAATCCAATTGCACCCAGGATAGTATGATGTGTACATCTGTCATATCTCCATGGTTTCCTCGTGGCTGTGACAGTTTCTTGGACTTGCCTTGTTTTGATGACTGTTAACAGTTTTGAGGAGTACTGGTCAGGTATTTTGTAAAATGTCCCCCATTTGGGACTTGTCTGACATATCTCTCATTTTGATTAAACTGAGGTGATGGGTTTTTGGGGAGGAAGACCACAGAGGTAAAGTGCCATTCTCACAGTATCACATCAAGCGTACCTACCATTGACATGATTTACCACTGTTGATGTCGACTGCAAACACTTGGGAGGTAGGATTTGCCACGTTTGTCCACTGCAAAGTCACTCTCTTTTCTCTACTTTCCATACTGTACCCCTTGGAAAGAAGCCCTTATGTGAATCCCACACTTGCATGGGAGACTTGTCTGCTCCCATGTACATATTTATGATCATTTCTAGCAGTACAGACTCGGAGATATTATACTTGGGTTTATAATCCAGTTCATTATTTTCTTGCTCAAATGGTTCTACCTTTGGCCACTGGGAGCTCTTTCAGTTGCTTCCTATATACCTTTGACACACCTCCACCATGGAGCATTTTTATTTTTTAAGCACTTACTCTGGTATTGCCAAATGCTCCAGTCTCATCTTTTATGTTTTCTGCCCCAGTCTGAGAATAAGCCCTAGTTACTTTTATTAGAGAATGGTATTAGAACCCCAAATCTTGGTGCTAGGCATACTCACTGTTACTGCAGGGGCTTGTTTCTGGCTCTCTCAGCTGCCTAGCAAAGAAATATACATGTGTATACTAACCCACTTATATATACACATCTATTAATAATTCCATGTTTAACTATATTACACTAAATATGCATAATACTGAGGTCTCCAACTCAGACTCATCGCCACATGGATCATTCTAGCCCCTTCCCACTCTGGAAACTGCCATTTCAACAGTGAGGAACCTGGCACCTACCATCTGTCATTCATTTATTTAACCGCGCACATCCAGTATCCATGTGGAGCACTATCAGAATTGTTACCCACACCATGGGAAATAACTTTATCAACTACTCCACGGTGCTAATGTGCAGTTTCATTTGCCTTTAGCCTTACAGCCCACCCTCATTTATAGTGTTATGTGGGTCAGCACCTTTCTTCCCACCTCCTTTAGTAAGGCTGTTTCATACATGTGTAACATAGTCAGATTCTTTGCTCAGAGCCAGCATTCTATCCTGGAATCCCCTAATCTCCTAAATTATATATATATATATATATTTTTATCTGTATACATTAAGGGTCACATTTTGTGAAGCTTCTAGTGGTTCTGACAAATGTGCAGGGTCATGCATCAACCATTACAGTATCACACACAACACATTCACAACTCTGCTTCACATTTTCATCTTCCCCCACACGCACTGGCAACCACTGATCATAAACTATTGGAACAGTTTTGCCTTTTCCAGAATGTCATGTATTGGAATCATCCAGCCTTTCAGACTGGCTTTTTCACTTAGCAATATGCATTAATAAAATGTTTTAATGTTTATTTAT